GAGGGAGGGTACATAAGGACACAAGGGCCTGTGGTCAAGAACTATCGGTGCTTGGGTGGTGGGGTCGGGTGGTGGCATACATCTGAGGAGATGTGAGCATATTCCTCTAAATCATATACATACTGTTACCTCAATAAAGGAAAACAAAACTGAAAAGACTATAGAGTGAGAAATATATTTTCCAATGCAATACAATGTAACAAAAAGGATAGGCTTCCAAAATAGTCAAAGAATTCTTATGGTTCAGTAGGAAAATTACAATCCAATTGAAAAATCCACAAAAAATGAACAAATATTTCACGAAAGAGGAAATATGCACAGTCATAAACCTAGGAGATAATCCATTAGTAATCAAGAAAACACAAATCAAAACCACAACAAAGTATTATAAGTATTTATGGTTAAGTTAAATCATGGTCTTAACTCTAGATGCCATGCCCTTATCCCTAGACTATGTGAATACTTATATAACTTCCATGGAAAAAAGGATTTTTCTCATTTCTTTTAAGTTAGGGCTCTTGAGATAGAGAGATTGTCCTGGATTATCCAGTGGGTCCAAGGTTCTAATAAGGACACAGAGGGGTCCTCCCTGGTGTCACAAGGGATTAAGTCGCAGCATTATGAAGCCGTACACAGCCACTGCAGCACAGCACGAGTTAGCCCTGGACAGCTAGGGAAATAGCCACCTGGCGCAGCAGACCACTCCTGTCTCGCCCACTGCTCCCCTCAGCAGCGTATTTCACTAGATCCTCCTGTTCTGCTTCCCACTCAGTCTCTGGTGAATCCTCTCACCTCACCACCACCCCCTGCCCCCGCACCTCTGGCCTGTACCCCAGTCATATATGCATAAATAAATGAATCTTAAAAAAATTAAGAATGCTTAAAAAAATAATAAGGACACAGAGGATCATTGTGAAATAAGGTGATGAGGTGATGAACACAGAAGTCAGAGGCTGAAAGATAACGAAAAGTGAGCATTCGCAGCCCAACCCTGCACACCATATGAGACACATCACCATTTAACAGGGACCAGCAAGGGCACAGATGTCAACTCATACAATAAATGTTATGAAAATTAGAATTCATTACTCTTCAAGATCTAAACAATACGTGAAATTTTTAATATTTTATAGATTGTGATATAGCATTTAAGATAATTACACATTTTATAATACTAATTACATGATAAAAAATAAAACACATAATATTTCATAATAATATACCCTTTACATTTTTCCTCCACCCCAGTGAATTGTCTTGTGTGATTCACATCTTTAAAATGCAGCTTATAATTAGTATTAGTAACATGGTGCTTAAAAATGCCAACCTGTGACAGAGATGCCACAGGGAGCCAAGGCCTCCCGTCTCCAATATGTTCCTTAATTCATATATTTGTCATCAGGTGAAAGAAAGCCCCTGGCTTCCCTCTCAGAGATTCACACGTCTCATGTTGCAATGGACAAATCTGCTCCAGGGCTGCCAGGGCTCCACTCTCCACCCTCTGCCTCTGCCAGTTCCTTAAGTTGCAGAACTGTGTGCACCTGATTCCATGGGCTTGGCTCATTAGTCCCATTAGGCTTTTGCTGCAACTGTGCCTGCACCAGGTTTGCTGGCCTGGAGGCCCAAAGGACCCCTGGGGGCACAACTTTTCCCCAACCCCCACCTTCAGGAGTCTTTCCCTTCATTATAGCATTCAGCCTTTCCAGCAACTAGTAGGTTGTTCTTCCCCATCTCATCACTTATTATTTCTTCCATATTTTATCTTAGTGTCTCTAAATTACAAATCCTTGTGATATGGACCCAAAAGTGTAATTTTATGAACTTTGTCAATGTCTATTACTCCTCTGGCTACACAAAAGGTATTTAATAAGGAAAAGTAAGAACTAAGCCAAAAATGGAAGGAAGAGAGAGAGGGAGGGAGGAAGATTAGATGCAGCTCAACCTAAACATTTCATGAAATATGCTATTAGTAAGCTTTTTCCAACAAACAACACAGGTACTGAGAATATATTTCCATTTTATTATATATGGTTAAGGAGGGAAATCAGAGCAGAAAACGTGAAGAAAATAACTCACCGGAAGTGGGACATAATGAAGAAAATAGAAAGACAGGAAATAAGGGTCATATGTTGACACAGGAAAACCTGCCGAGAGTTTCATGACATAAATCCAGGGCACCAAAAAATAACTTAATATTTACTTTATCAGTTAAAATTACTCCTGAATTCAATCAAGGCCACATGCCATAACTTTTAAAAGTAATACTAAAACTGAAGTGTTACTTCGTCCAGTTTTCTGTTTTTATCTGTTTAAAATTTCATAATGCAAAGTCTGGGTTCTTGAAGGCTTCTATATCTAGATGTGTCTATAGATGTAAATGTATACGATATTTGATTAAGCTGTACAAACAAATTTTTTACATTTTACTATGTTTATGTTCTACCTCAATTAAAACAAAGATTAAGCTTAAACAAAGATTAAGATTAAACAAAGATTAAGGGAAGAGTGTGCCTGAGTTTGGCAAAAACATTGAGGAGGATGTGCAGTGGTTTAAGCAAGAGATAACCTTACCCTGAGCCAGGGTGATGGCAAAGGAGATAAATAATATGAAATGATTTGAAGAGTATGAAAGGAAGTAAAATCCACAGGACTTATGGTTGGTGATAAATTTGCAGGTTCAGAATGAAAGAGTCAAGAAACAGGCCCAGTTTCTAAGTCTCTGTAAAACTAAACTAGGTAAAAAGCCCAGGAATCCTGATTCTGGACTGAGGAAGAAATCTCCAGTTACTTTTCTCATTTATTTGGAAAATATACACTGTTACAGGCTGAATTATCTCCCCCTAAATGTCATACTCCGAAAACCTAGCCCTCAGTACCTCAAAAGTGCTGTATTTGGAGACAGGGTCTTTTAAAATGAGGTCATTAGCATGGGTTTTAATCAAATATGATTGGTGTCTGCGTAAGAAAAAGAAATTTGGACAGACATATATAGGAAAGACCATATAAACACGGTGGAAGGCAATCGTCTGGAAGCCAAGGACAGTTATCTCAGACCGGCCCTGCCTAAACCTTGGTCTCAGACGCCCAGCCTTTAAAACTATGAGAAAATGAATTTCTATTGTTTTAAGTCACCCAGTCTGTGGTGATGGTGGCCCTCGTTAGCTAATGCAGTCTCCAAGCCAGAAATTCTAATAGTCTGTTCTCTACATTTTCAGGTTTACAGGAGAGTACAGCAGAGCCTGAAGCACACTGATTTCTGCAGAATGATATGAGTAGCTACTTTGATTATTATTGCAAATGAAAGGAAACTGACAAACATTATTAGATTCTAAACTCACCAAATTCTCTTCTGATCTTTTGATAATAAAATTAAACTTCACATAATTGCCACAAATGTACGCATGAATCCTGATTTTGCTCCTTTTGGGTGATTACTGCATATTAGCATAATTATATCAACAACAGCCCCCATGCCTGTCATTATTACTAGTTAAAGAATATTCCTTTATGCTCGTGAAATCTATATCATGACAGGCATGAAAAGGCTATGTTGCCATTACAAGAAATGGTTACCAGGGAAATGACATGAATGGGGACAGTGGGAGACATTGGAAACAACAAAAAAACTGCACTTCCCATCAAAGCCAGGCCACTTCAGGCTGCTATTCTTGCATTCAAAGCCAAGAGAAACTGACAGAGCAGAACACGAGGAGCTAAGCAACGAGGCTACGCAGTCCCAGAGCACAGCTGCATATCTGTGTTCAGAATAAGAGAAGTCATTCTCCCTGTAATAAGTAACTGGAGCATGAATTTTGCTGAGGATGTTGGAGTAAATGTATTTCAACTGCAAGTGTGTGGTCGAGATCACTGTCCGAAAGATGCAGGGACAGAGAAGCCTTTGCCCTCATGTGAAACATGACCCAAAGTGAGTTCACTGAGCGGTGTTTTCCATGGCCGCAGAAAGGTCGTAAAACATGGTGTCTTCCCAGGTTGAGGCCCAGGATCATGGCTTTTACTGCACAGTTAGAGGCTTTAGGAAGAGCAGCCACCACCATAAGAGCGATTAGGAGTTTGTAAATCTGAACTCAAATTCAGCATGTTGGTCACAGAGAAGAGTCCAGAAAAGTCTTGCCAGCACCGTGATTGTCAAGAGGAGGAACACTGCAGAAGGAAACTATAATCCCAATGGGATCTGCCAAGCAGATCTGTGAGAGTTTATTTTAAAGCTAGCTTAAGGATCATTCATTCAAAGTCAAATAAAATGTATTGATTTTTGCAATTAAAAAGATCTGTATTTATTGCAACACCTAAAAAACAGGGGAGGGGGGAAAGCCAACCAGCAACTTAACACTTTTGTCAATATTTAGGTTAACTTCTTAGATGATAAAAAAAACTAATGATTCTGCTGGATGTGTTTTTAAATGCTCACACAGTATCTAGGCTGTCTGTTCCTCTTATGTTGAGTTTTTCTAGAATCTAAAGTTGCTATTTGTTTAACCAAGAGAATGTTTTAGAGCAGTTTTAGATTTAGAGAAAACAAATTACAGAGTTCCCATTTACCCCTTGCCTGTCCATATCGTCCATTGTAACCAGTGGCTGAAGCCAAAAGATTGTTACAGGCTGTGCTCCCTGAAGGGTGTTGCTGGTGAGGATAGATAGCCCCAAGGAAAATGCTAAAAAGCTTAAAAGTATTTGGAGGTGGAGGACTGATAAGAAATATATGAGCCTACAAAAGGAGTCTCAGATTATTCATTGTTCCAGATTCAGCTTTTGAGGATCCAGTATTTCGGGATTCAGCATTTTGGATCAGCCATTTCAGCCCCCACCGCACCTATCTTCCGAAGGCTGGTATGGCCTCTGAAGGTGGAGGCCTCTAGCAGCCAACCTCGGAGAGGAAAAGTTCAGAGATTTTGCAAGTAGCCTAGTGACTAAAACTGTTTCTGGTTTTGTTGCTGTTACAGGCTGGCAGAGAAGGCAAAGACCCGGAGCCAGGCACCTACCTGAGCTGCATGAGTCTGGCCGTTTGTCGAGTCATTTGGCTGCTGCAGGTGCTGTTTTGAGTGTGGCTTGTCTGGTGACGTGCTGGGCCATCTCGGCAGCTCTGGGAGCATCTCCTGTAGTGTTTTCTGTTGTCTTCGTGATTTGGAACCTGGCCTATAGTCTTGCTGCCACATGTCCACAGTGGCAGGAAGACGCCATCTTGGACACGTGGCCTATTATACTAAGTGGCAGGAACAAAAATAACGTTTTAGACTATGAGACCAAATTAGTGGTTACCAGAAGGGAAGGGGAAAGAGGGAGCATAAGTTGGGTAAAAGAGACCAATTATATAGCAAAAGACTTTCAGTGGTGAACTTAATCTAATATATAAAGACATTGATTTCTAATGATATGCACCTGATATTTATATAGTGTTATAATGCAATGTTATGTCATTTTAAAAAAGAGGGATTTGTTCTCCCACTCAAACAATATTTACATGGGGGCACAGAATTTGTAAACAAATGCTAAAGTTTTTAATAGGTTTACTTTTGTAGTGATTTAAATACAGTGATTCTGAAACAATTTAGATATTTTATTGGCTAGAACAATGAGCAAATATGTCTATGTTTTTGAGAACCAGTGTTCTCAATAAGGAAGAATGGGAGATATGAACACAAAATGATGAAGGGAAGGAAAAAAAAAACCATGGGAATGTATTTAGAATTGAATTATTAATGTGGATACAATACCTAAAATACGTTGTTATGTATATAAATATGAATGGACACCTGAACAGGAATCTGTTTTGCAAAAATATGTATTTACTATCTTCATTTACTGAAATGTCCAAGGAGCAAAGACACTTCAGTAATCATAAGCAAATTTGGCTTTCTCCAAATTTGGCCTAATCTCCAAATTTGGCTTCCAATACCATTTCCACTTCATGAAGCTCCACTTCATGGAGCTATGTTGAGCTAAAGTCTTTAAAAATTAGTATCAAATTTATCTGCACAAAGATTTGCAACATTAATTAGGCTGAGGATGCCAAGACATAATGTGGAATTCACTAATCACCCATGAGCAACTAGATTCTCTAACACAAGATGAGTCAGTTGCCAAGGGCATTGGAGAAAATATTAACCAAAATAAAAGGTGGGGTTCCAGAATGATTAAAATTGTATAGACACATGTTGATCCTCAACAACGTGATCCTCAACAACAAACACTGAAATTTAGATAATGTTATACTGCAATAATACTTCAGTAAGATGAAAAAAAGTCATAAATGATTGTTATGTCTGAAAGTAAAAATGAACTTTTAAAAAAGTATGGGGACTTGTCACTGGACAAGGAACCAACTTGAAGAAGTTTCCAATTACCAAATCAAATTGGGGATAATCAGGGATGAAAACATTAAGTACAGTAATGAATTATAAAACTTTGAAATATGAGCTATTGTTACTGATAAAAGGAAAATGAGGGAGAAACAAAGTCTCAAGCTTAAGGCAGAATATTCTGTGCTGACCAGTACTTGTGGACAGGGTGAGTACTGGAGTTGAATCATCACATTGTAGCACCATAGAAAAGACTAGATCTGGCAAGAATCATCAATAGATGCTAACTATGTCTAGAGAGAAATTTTGCTAAAACCCAGAAATTTGGCATGGACTTATCAGTTTCTTACCACAAACTGCTAATTAGTTTCAAGTGAGAAAAAGAATGTAATTACACAAGGGAGAAACTAAGCAACACCTTTGCAGAATGATTTAAATTAACATCACCAATGAGGAACAGATGGCCACTGTGTGCCTCCAGACAGAAGACCTTGAGAAGGACATACTACTTGTAAAGCATTAGTTTGAGAATGTATAACCTGACTCTAACCACTGGGAAATATCAATGAGAAGGTGTGCTAAAGCGCCTCTGATTAAAAAAAGGAGAAAAATGATAGTCTTCAAAAATATCATTGGTAAAAAGGAAAGATTGTGGAAATGTTGCAGATTAAAAGGTTAAAAATACAAGAACTAAATGCAATATCTGAATCTACTTTGGATCCTAAGTTGAAGGGGGGAAATTCTGTTTTAATTTTTTTTGGATAGTTTATACATGAAATCAATGAAATTCTCATCAACAGATAGTAGGATAAAGAAATTGAGGTGGCTATAGTTAATGGCATACTACTCAGCTGTTAAAAAAGATGAAGTTATGCCTTTTGGGACAATATGGATGGACCTTGAAGTGAAATAAGTCTGAAAATGAAAGACAATTACCAGACAGCTTCACTCATTTGTGGAATATAAATAGCCAAATAGGCCAAACTCAACAAAAATAACTCTGAGACTCTGTGCAAAACAAGGTTGCTTTGGGGGTGTGGGGGTGGGAAGGTGGGGGGGGCGGTAATATGATAGTGCATTGGCTCTAGAGCTTTGGTGGAAATCAAGTTAAGCATGTGCACATGTTGAGGTGTGAGGCATGTGCACATGTTGATTTGTAAAAATGGCAAATCAATAAAATTTAATTTAAATGATTGTGGCAATTGAATAAGTATAATTGCTGGGATAAAACCAGTGTATCAGTGCTACATTTACTGGAATTGATAGCTGAACTGTGGTTATAAAAGAGAATATTCTTATTTTTAGGACATATACAATGAAATATTTAGTAGTAAAGTGGTGCAGGGTTAAAGAGCCATGATGTTTATAATTTACATATAATGTAAAATACATAAAGAGAGTGAAGAACCAAATTACCAAGCAAATGAAGTAAAATGTTAACAAGAGGAATCCAAGTAAAGAGTATAAGATGTGTTGTTTGTATTATTTTTGTTCTTGGAAATTTTTATAAGTTTGAAATATTTCCAAGTAAAAAACATATTAGGGAAAAATATCTAATTAAGCATTTGGTGACAATGAATATCCTTCTACTGGATTCCTAATCTCCCATTAGCTAAACAACTCCTGTTCATCCTTTAAAATAATCTTCTAGTGCATTACTTATTCTATGATACCTTCTCCAACACCTTCCTCTCAAAAAAAAATAAATAATTCCATACCATCTGAAATTGCATTTAGATTCTGGTAACAGAGTGAGAGTTGCAGTGATTTAAGTAAAACAGATACGTGTTTGTACCCTTAAATTAAGAGACAGGCAATTGGGGTTCTTTCAGATTACCATTCTATTTTCCTTTCCTGCTACCCTTCATATAAGGCTTTTATCATCAAAAGTACGGCATGGGACCTCCCTGGTGCTGCAAGGGGTTAAGACCAAACTATGAGCTATCTGCAGCCACTGCAGCATAAGTTCAATCCCTGGCCAGGGAGCTACCAACATGGCACAGCAGACCTCTCCTGTCTCGCTGTTCTGTTCCCCACTCTGTCTCTGGTGAATCCTCTACCCCCCTCCTTGGCCTGTACCCCAATTCTTGTATGCATAAATAAACAAATCTTTAAAAAAAAAAAGCATGTCATGATCCAGTATTGCTCCTGGAGCTCCAGCCATTCCTGCCAGCAAGTCCCAATCACTTATCTTCATTCTAAGGAGACTTCAAAAATCTAATCCCAAAACTTCCACTTGCACATCAGCTAAAACTTAGTCCTAGGACCACATATAGTTGTAAGAGGTTAGAAAATGGAATTTGGGGATGACTATTTTGCTACTTGATATAAAATCAGATTTCTTCCATAAGAAAGTTGAGAACAATTCATGTGGGGTAGCTAATTATCGGTCTCTGAATATCCTCCTGTTGTGAAATTCACCATTATTTTTTTAAAGTAAGTTTCTTTTTTTTTTTTAAACTGCAGAGGCTGTGGATAGCTTCACAGTGCCGTGCTTAACCCCTGGTACCACCAGAGAGGCCCCACCATTATTTTATACAAATTTCATTATTACCTGTATCATATCATATTTTGTTTGCATTCATGTCACTATCCTAAACTGTATTATACAACATGTTTGTATTCTTTATATATAAATACATACACACACTCACATACCACACAGCATACAGTATTTTGGATATGCATATCTGTGTTCACTTTTGTGATTCAATGCCTGGTTCAGAGCTGTCCAGTTATGCAGTTCATAACTGTCCAGTTATGCAGTATTTGCTTATATAATGTTGATGGAATTAAATTAGTTGCTATTCAGTCACTTAAAATGTTTCAGATAAATATACTTGATAGTCACAAGATTTCCTTTCAATTATATAAAGACTTTGAGAAACAACTCCTCAAAAACATTGCTGCTCTCAAAATTCACTGATGATTGTAGGTCATGGATAAAAGAAAATAGTAAGCAATTGAGAGTTTTAATAGCAAAACACAATTCTTTTTCCTTATCCTCAATAACATTTCCCTTTTTATACTCTAAATACCTACAATTTATTCACTTACTATCATAAAACATTTAATTACAGTTATATTCTGACCTCATTTAACCAATAAGGAAGAAAGTTCGGCAACAGTTTCAATGGCATGTTCAATAATGAGCAACACACTAGGAAATAGGAAGCAAGGGAAATTGGATTTCTGAGTGATGTTTCATCTGCTCACGGACACAATACACTGTAGAACCCAGCTGATGTGCCGAAAGGAGCAAAGTGCCACTCTTTTTATGTGAAAACACACTCAAAAAGAATTTTCATGCATAGGAAAAAAACCTTATCATTAACGTAGTCTCCAAATATATTTGAACATTTACTATGTGTCAGGAAATTTGCTAGGCACTAAAGACAGAATGGCCTGAAAAAAGAAGAGAATTTCAGAGTCCTTAGCCACAGAGAGTTCTCCCAACTGATAAGAGGGGGAACATGTTTTCAATCCCAATACTATATACTTCCAAAACTCACGCTCTTGATCACTGTATTTTGCATAAAGAATTAGCTCTTCTTGGATTTTGGATCTCTGGTCAAATGACAGTTCGAAATCCTAAACTGTTGACTAGAGTACCTGTCATTTCATTAAAAAGTGACGTGGTAGCAATTGGTAAGAGAACTGAAAATAGTTTTTGTCAGTCAAATAAAAATGTTCGTTGATATTTTTAAAATCTCATTTCACTAAGTTCTATATAAATGGCTTATAAAAATTTGGGAAATTTCTGATTGTTTTATGGTTGATCAATAAGACAATCAGCATTCTAAACTGCAAAGCAACAAGCTGGATATTAATTTTCCAACTGATGCCAAAAATTAGTATTACTTGGTCTCCCCACTCCCTTAATTAATGAGGTAATTTGGCACTG